TCATATTTCCTTAATCTCTCTAATCAATTTTTTTTTCAATCTTTTCCCCCATTTGATGAACACAAACTTAATTATTTTTTTTACTTTTTATCTTTCTCTAAATATTTTACATAAATCTTAGTAGCAACTAATATTATTTTATTCATAATTTATATTTATTAGATTTTATTATGTCATATTATGTATCTTATTATTTTTATTTGTCATATATCAAATTTTATCTTAATAAAATAATTGTACATTAAAGGATTAAAAAAATTAATAATTTAAACTTTTATTATTTCGAACTAATTAAATAAAAACTAACTTATTAAATATTTCCTTATAAGTTATATATTTTGTATTTTTAAATTTTTAAATGACAACTTAAAAATGAATTAAGTTATATGTAATTAAATGTTTGAATACAATATAATAATATTATAAATATTATATATATATATAAATAAAAAATTACTAAATATTTCTTTTATATACATATTTTATATAAATATAATAAATTAAAATATATATTTAATTAATAATAATTATAAATTGTAAAACTATAAATATTTATTTTTATATAAAAGTACATAATAAAATTATATTTATTATAAATATAATTATTTTTTAAAATAATATAGATCAAGATAAGACGACACGTGAAAACTCAAAATCTAATGAAGGCTAAGAGAATTTAATTTATAATCTCGATAAAAATCAAGAATGAGAAGGAGGATGATTAAAAAAAGTTAAAAACAGATATCGGCGATACCAAACCCGCGCTGTTACCATGTCTACAGGACATTCTAGTTTTAGAATAAATCCAATTACATGTAAATGATATAAATAATAAATACAAATAAATAACGATGTGTGCTGCTTTTACATTGTAAAAAACGTGATACATATTTTATGGGCAAGCAAGAGTATTGGATTTTCTTTCATGGTGTTGGAGTTTTACATATTTTAGTATCAAGTTACAAAATATAAAATTTTAATTCATTTTTAAATTGTTTAGCTTATAGAGTCAAAGCTATCCTCATTTTTGACATGTGACTCACGTGGTCAAGATTTTCTTGTCTCTTTCTCGCAATCATTTTCTAATTTGCGGCGCCTTTCTTCAATGTCTTCGGTAACACTGACACTCTTCACTGTGTGTTAGGATCACCCGCAGTTCAATACAGAACCTCACCGTCCTGTAGTTGCATCCAACATAGTACACATACAACTTTAAGGCTTTGTTTGGATGGAGTGATTTAAGAGAGTGGAAATGAGAGAGTGGAAAAGGAGGGATTTGAAGAGAAATGGAGATGATTGAAAAGTGAAAGGAAAGTTTATGGGAAATTGTGAATGATTTGATTGATATGAGATATAAAAATTATAATTTTATGTTTATTATTTAAGAAAATTACCATTTTACCCTTTGTATCAAATAAGGTTCAAATGATTATAAATATAATTTTTTAATTAATTATCCATATTTTAACATTGATTATATATTTAAAAGAAAAAACAAATTTAAAAGTGTTTGTAATTGGAAACAAATTTAAAAAATTAACTTTTTTAGATAGTTATTAAAAATTATATAAATAAACAATTACAAAATTATGTACATTGCATATCCATATTCAAATAATGTTGACATATTAAATAAATTATTTGACTAATAATTAAATAATTATAAAATATAAAATAATAATTAATATTGATTGATAATAACAAATAATTATGAAAACTAATAATATAATTGTACATTATTATTTAAAACAAATATAAAATACAGTGAAAATAGAATAATAATTAAAGGAAAGATTACTAAAATTATAAATCTATGCACACTAATGTTCTTCAAACAAATAATTATAATGTTATCCATCTTTTGTAGTGAAGTCCTCCAGGTTCAGATCATTCAATCACCTCCATTCAAGAACATGAACAAGCTGGAGAGACGAAAATGTGAGGGCAAGCCAAAAAGTCGTCTAACATGTGATGGGTGAGTACACAAATGATTATAACACTGAAGCATAAGTTGCTCGTCATTTAGGTTCATGCCGACTAACATGTCCCATATATCTGACTCCGAATGTTGAAATGTTGATGATCGTCTCATCACATTAACTTGCTCATTAATTAATTCATTTCTGCGTTCAATGGCGACCACCTGTCTTTCAGCTATGTCAGATAATCGTTGGGTGATTGTATTACCTTGCCCGAGGTAATCTGTAAATGTGTCCAGCCTCGATGTTAGTTTTTCAAATTGACCTTCCATCACATCAAATATATATAAGATAGCGGTTAATATATACACTTTTAAGAGCGGTTACAAAAACAACCGCTCTTAAAAGTAACCTGTGATAGCGGTTATATGTTAACCGCTACCTAAAGTTTTCAAATGATCGATTATTTTGCCAAAATGATCGATCACAGTTCCAAAACCTCGACACTTTAGATAGCGGTTCACCTAAAACCGCTATTACAAGTTATATTTCGCTTGAGCGACCGTAAACTCGCTCGAGCGAAGACACCTGCACATAATTTTCATCCTCGGGTTGTTTTTCGCTTGAGCGAAACTGATCTCGCTCGAGCGACTAGCAAAGATCTCAGTGATTTGATGAAGTCAAAGATAAAGTCAAAACGCATTTCAATCGATTAAAACACATTTCAATCGATTAAAATGACTTAGAAAAAATTATCATGCGAGGTTTTAATCGATTAAAACTTCTTTGTATCGGTTAAAATAACTTGAAAAGTGTTATAAGAAAGTTTTAAACTGAATCAATCGATTAAACCGCGAATCAATCGATTAAATCACTCTTAGAAAATATTTGTAAAAAGTTTTAACTGATAAAAACTTGGTCGTATCAGCTAAAACAATTCTGTTAAAGAACAAGAACTTTGAAACAAAAAAAAATTAAGAAAATAGAGATTTAATTACACTTTTAATAAATTGAAGATAATTACAATATAATTTTCTAATTTGAGAATGAACAATATAATTAAGAAGATCAAGTGTAATGTTATTGATGCTAATTTTAACAATAATACAATAATATTATTTTGGAAAATGCCCATATTCATGTGAATATTTTGATTATTATTATATAAAATAATTAAAAGAATAAGGTAAATAGAAAAGTAAAATGCATGGTTATACCACTTTCCTTTTAATCTATAATTAGTTAGGTATGAATCAAATGTAAAGTCTAATGTTATTGATGCTAATTTTAAGAAGATCACAAAATGTAAATTAAATAACTACAATATAAATTTCTACTTTGAGAATGAACAATATAATTAAACTCAAAATTGAGAATACTCTTATACATTTTTGAACTCTTTTGGATAAATTTTGTTTTCCTAATTTTTGATAAAATTAATTTTAATATTTAAAAGTATTTAACATTTTGAATTCTGAAAGGTTTTCTCTAATAGCAAATTTAAAAACATAATATTCAAAAAAATATTTTAAGATTCAGTCTCGGGTTGCATTTCGCTCGAGCGACTATATCTCGCTCGAGCGAAAAACGATACTGATCGATCATAATTTGAAATGATCGATCATAACTGGAGGATATAATAGCGGTTCCTCTGTAACCGCTATCTAAAGTGTATATTAGATAGCGGTTCCAGTGGAACCGCTATCATATACAACCAAATTTTTAATTTCTTCAGTCTCGGGTTGTGTTTCGCTTGAGCGACTATATCTCGCTCGAGCGAAATATGATTCTGATCGATTAGATTTAGGTAATGATCGATCATAATTGGAGGATATAATAGCGGTTTCTCTGTAACCGCTATCTAAAGTGTATATTAGATAGCGGTTCCAGTGGAACCGCTATCATATACAACCATATTTTAATTTCTTCAGTCTCGGGTTGTGTTTCGCTTGAGCGACTATGTCTCGCTCGAGCGAAATATTGGAGGATATAATAGCGGTTCCTCTGTAAGCACTATCTTAAGTGATATATAATAGCGTTTAAGATTTAACCGCTATTAGAAGTGATATATAATAGCGGTTATGTTTTAACCGCTATTAGAAGTGATATATAATAGCGGTTAAGTTTTAACCGCTATTACAAGTGCTGTTATAATAGCGGTTAAGATTTAACCGCTATCATATATTGCAGGGTAACAGCGACTTTTCATTACTTTCATCTCTTTTCTTCGCACCTCAGCGAAGAAACTCTCTCTCTCATCTCCCCTTTTCCTCGCCTGCATTTCGTCGCAAATCAGTTCAACCAAACGTGGGTGAATCTCGTGTTTCTGTCTTCGTGAACAGTATTTCGTCGCAAATCAGTTCAAACAAACAGGGGCTAAATATATAATTTTTTAAAGTGAGTGATTAGATAAATATTTGAGAAAAACGAGTTCCCATATATTATCAATCTTTTAATTAAAGGGAAAGATTTGTAGACAATGAATTTTTACAAGTATCTCATAAATAATTTAAATATTTTTTTATTAATGGAGAAAAAATAAAGTATGATAAATAAACAATAATATTAAAATTTAAATATAAGTTGTTGAATAAATATTTTTGTTTTTTATATCAAAATATTAAATACACTATAATTATTAAATATGGATATTTTAATATTATAAAAAAAATAAAACATATATTTTATCATCTTATTTATTGATATTATATTCATAAAATATTGATTTCAAATAAAATTAATTTAAAATTATTATTTTATTAATAAATAAAGATATTGAATAGATGTTTATTCATAATTAGATGTCAATGCCATAATTAGTGGTTTATGATTTGTTTACAACCCATTTTTTTAAAACATCTATCCAACCACCTGTTTTTTTAATTTTTAATTTTTTTATGTTGTTATTTATGTTTGTTACATTATTCTCTCCTTGTAATCAATGAAAAAATTAATAATTAATTAATATTTTAGGATGTTTATTAGATGTTGGGTGTGAAAATATCATTTCCCATAATTATAAGAAAAAAATGTTTTCAGGGGTCCAGATTTTGCGCAGTTGTCGTACAACTGTGGAGGATGATGAGACTATATATAGCTCTAGGCATTCGCCTTGCAATTCAATCCTCAGAGTCATCGTTACGAAACAGTTTGTGTAATAAAACACTCACAACACAAGCTATGTTTATTTTCTTCTTCTCTTGTTTACTGTCCCTAGGGTTTCTCCTTCGTTTCTTCAACGGAAAACGACAAGGTTGTTATCACCATAACCATGCACCTCCTTCGCACCCAGTAATTGGATGTCTCGTTTCTTTCTACCAAAACCGCCACCGTCTCCTAGACTGGTACACCCAACACATAGCTCAATCCCCGACCCACACTATCGTCGTGCGCCGCCTCGGCGCGCGTCGCACGGTGGTGACGGCGAATCCCCGCAACGTGGAGTACATTCTGAAGACCAACTTTGGGAACTTCCCCAAAGGCAAGCCCTTCACCGAAATCCTCGGCGATCTTCTCGGGTGCGGGATTTTCAACGTGGACGGCGAGCTCTGGCAGGCGCAGCGCAAGTTAGCGAGTCACGAGTTCAGCACGCGCTCCCTTAAGGACTTCACGGTGAAAACACTCCACGAAGAGGTCCAACACAGGCTTATTCCACTACTTGAGCTTGCTGCACGTGAGAGCCACGTGATCGACCTGCAGGACGTGCTGCGGAGACTCACGTTCGACACGGTGTGCATGGTGTCGCTGGGCTACGACCCCTGCTGCCTGGATCTGAACAAGCCCCTGCCTCCTCTTCTCACGGCGTTCGACAAGGCGTCGGAGGTGAGCGCAGCGCGCGGCGCGGCGCCGGTGTTTCTGGTATGGAAGCTGAAGAGAATGTTGAACGTGGGGTCAGAAAAGGCTTTGAAGGAAGCCGTGAAGCTGGTTCATGAATCGGTGATGAAGATCATAAAAGCAAAGAAAAATGAAATGACATGCAATGGAAGAAAAGGTGGCACTGATTTGCTGGTTCGTTTGCTGGAGGCGGGGCAAGAGGAAACGGCGGTAAGGGACATGGTTATAAGCATGATAATGGCGGGGAGAGACACCACTTCCGCGGCGATGACGTGGCTGTTCTGGTTGTTGTCGAAGCATCGAGAAGAAGAAGCGTTGCTAGTGAAAGAGGTCTATTGTGGAGATAACCGAAGTGAGGGTTTGGATTACGCATGTTTGAAAGAGATGAAGTTGTTGAAGGCGTGTTTGTGTGAGTCGATGAGGCTTTACCCACCGGTGGCGTGGGACTCGAAGCATGCGGGTGGTGCTGACGTGTTACCTGATGGGACACACGTCGGGAAAGGGGATAGGGTGACTTATTTTCCGTACGGAATGGGGAGAATGGAGGCTTTGTGGGGGGAGGATTGTTGTGAGTTTAAACCACAACGTTGGTTTCGTGATGAGAATGTTGATAATGGGGTTCTCAAGTGTGTGGATCCTTACAAGTTTCCTGTGTTTCAGGCAGGTCCAAGAGTGTGTCTTGGGAGGGAAATGGCTTTTATTCAGATGGAGTATGTGGTGGCTTCCATTCTAAACCGTTTTGTTGTTTCGCCAGTCTCTGATGAACACCCCCGTTTTGTTCCTCTTTTAACAGCTCACATGGCTGGAGGATTCAAAGTTAGGATCAACAACAGAACTGGAGCTGGAAGTGAAAAGTGAGAAGAGAAACTGAGTCTTGAGTGATCATGCAGAGGTTTGCATATTGTGAGAAGAAATTAAGTGGTTAAAGTCATCTCTTTATAGTCCTATCAATCTTTATATATGTATTTAAGCTTTTCAATTTATAAAAAGAAAAAAAAAATGCTTGATTATATGTTATCAGAATGATAAATTTGACATTCATTAATGAAGAGGTTATGATGATTATGGGAAATAAAAATGAGATGATAATATAACATAATAAATATATACAATATCGATCAAGTTTAAAGTCAAAATTGAAAGTAAAAAAGAAACAATATGATTATCAAGCGATGTTGAAATTATTGAAAGAAAAATGATACTTTTACTGCCCAATCCATACAACTCTCTTTTTAATATTATAATAATAATTTTAATTTATTTTTATTTTTATTAAATCATTCTCTTTTAATATTATAATAATAATTTTAATTTATTTTTACTTTTATTAAATTATTATATAAATTATTATATTAATAAAAATGGATTATTTGAAGGGTTGTATAGTTTCTGATTTTCAAAATATCTTCCATCTAAAATATTAATTTTAATTTTGGAAACAACCAATCTTAAATGTAAGCACATCGGTTCATACAAGTTTAAATATGTTATACATTCTATATTGGTTAAGGTAAAATTGATATTTAACGTTTTACTTTCAACATCGATTAACATCATAACCTATGTCGGAAGTTGACTTCTATTTTCCGACATTCTTGCTTTTTTTAATATTTCCCATTTATAAAAAAAAAAACTATTTGCAAACAAATATAAAATAGTTTCAGATTATTATGAAACAATCTCAATTAATATATAATTCAAAATTTTTTATAATTTACAAAGAGATAATTAAGAAACAATTGTAACAAAAAAAATTTACAAATTGAATACAAATGTTTATTTATTTCTAACTGCTAATTTTTTTTTACCCATTCATTTCTAATATCATTTACCTCTATAGTCAAAGATATATTTTCTCCATAACATAACAGTGTATATTTAAATTATAATGTAAATTGGTTCCGAGAGTCTGTTGTATATGAATATCAACCACATACAATATGTATAATATAATAACTACATTCATAACTATCAAGTAACCTAATTAACGGTGTAAAATGATATATACCTATTAAATATATTATCATACTATAGAATAAATGACTAATCTATTGCAAGTTACTCCTTTTAGTTATGTGCATACCATTTAAAAGTTAATTTCCAGAGTATAATATAATCAACTTTCAAATTACAAGCTTGATTGCTCCAAAACTGATGTTGAAAGTTGATTGTGTACTACTATAAGAAAATCATATTTTACTAATGATACTAAAGTACTAAAGTCCTTTACATTGGTAAGTTGGTGAAATCATTATTGTGTAATATGGTAAAAGAATATTATTCTAAAAGAATATTATTGATAAATATATCGGTGGGTAAGTATCATATGCATTATTTATCAGTAATGTTTGTCAATAAATTTGACACGATTTATATGAATTCTTTCATAGGAATATTTTGACGTATTGTTACGTCGAAAAAATTAATCTACCAATAATTATGTTTCTTTGAATGGAAGAAATTGAAATATAAAATATGTTCATTCTCTCGTGTGTATTTTGTGCCCCTAATTCTCTTATGCCTCCTCATTCTGTCGTAGTGTCTCGTACCTACCAACATCCCACTAATCTCTTAACCTACCTAAATCACCTTGTAATATTTTGCCTTATATCATACCTTATGTAGCAACAATCCATGAAACCTCAAATCGTGATGGGTGTAGCATGTGTACAAGCAATCTCAATCCATATCATAGAAATGGGTATTGTTGTTCCATATATTTAATCTTACTTGACGTTCAAATTTATGACTTGAGTTAGGATTTGAGATGTTTGGGTGCTCTAAGATGTGTTGTTATGCTTCTATTATATTATAACTTGTCCTTAATTGAATTTGATAGTATTTGGATTCTGTAAACCAGTGGAAGAGGATTATTCAAACCATTCATTCAAAATTGAAGTTGGTGAGAATATAATGTTGGAATTAGGTAGGTATATTTCTGCTTCTTCTTTTTTAATTTTTCATAATTCAATAGATGGTCACAATACACAACTTTCATATAAGTGCATTAATAGATTTTGCTTGTTGTCATATATCACAATAGGTTTTATTCCTCAAATGTGCACATAGGACGATACTAGAACTTGATCATGTTGTTATTTAAGAGGTTCGAATCTGGCCTTAGTGTTGGTTATGATGAGTTATTAAGTAGGTAAACTTGTATAGTGGTAGTTTAGGGTAATTGAAAATAACTTAGGAACTGTTATGCAAAGAAGTAAAAAAAATAATGTATGCTTAGGCTTTTTCCTCTGTCTTAAGTGAGTTAACTAGTTCAAGTTTTCTTTTTCTTTGTTTGGTACAGAAATTGATAGGTAGAGATGTAGAATATAAGGTTGATGGTAACACTACCAGAAATAGTTTTTTTTTTTTGAACATTTTGCATTCATATCAATGTAAAAAGTGAGTTTTTACAATCATTAACAATCAATCATGTATATAGTGAACATATAACATTGGTGGTAAAAAATTGATATAATATTATCAATTTCTACATTGATTCTAGGTTAAAATCTACGTAAAAAGTGACATGTTACATTTTTCTTACAATCGATGTTATATGTGAACTTAAAAAAAAAATTAATATATATCACACACACTAGTACAAAAATGGGCTTTTACGTCAGGTATTTAGGACTTTTTACGTCGTATTTAAGACTAACGTTAAAACGGGAGACGTAAATTTACGTCAGACCCTTTAGCCCAACGTAAATTTATGTCAGTTATCAAGACCCGACGTAATTTTGCGTTGTATATACCACTAAACAGACGTAAAAACTTTCAAAAATAAAAAAAAACAGCAAATTTACGTCACATATGGTATATGTGACGTAAATTTACGTCGCGTATTGGTATATGCGACGTAAATTTGCTGTTTTTTTTTTTAAATTGGGTTGATTCTGTTTTACAACTAAAACCTGCAAATATATATTACAACCAGACAGTCTAGAGGTTCAATTTTCTTTAGCTAGTTAATATTATATAATTCAAACTACATAATAAAACAATATAATACAAACATACAAACTAAGAAATTTATTACAAACTAAAAGTTAATACAAACTAAGCTACCTAAACTACATAATACACACAATATAATGTGAACAAGAACATAAAAAATTATGTACTAGAATTGTTGAACAAAAAGTTTTGCCCATTGTTCTCTAATTTGTGTAATATCATATTCTGGTAATGGAGATGGATCTTGAAATACCTGAAACACACTAGTGCAAAAATGACATTTTACGTCACCCAATTGTCGTCGCATGTCAAAATATTCGACGTAAATAAAACGCGGTGGCAATTTTGTAAATAAGAGGTGAAACTTTTACGTCGCATATTGTAGGAGGTGACGTTAAAAACCTCTTTTACGTCGCACCTGGTACGAAAAGTCACGTGGGGGGTGTGCGACGTAAAAAGTATCACTTTTTACGTCACATGGGGGTGCACGACGTAAAAAATATCACTTTTTACGTCACATGGGGGTGCGCGACGTAAAAAGTGATATTTTTTACGTCACATGGGGGGTGCGCGACGTAAAAAGAACTTTTTATGTCGCGCACCCCCCACGCGACGTAAAAGAGGCTTTTTACGTCACGTACTAGGGTGTGCGACGTAAAAAGTTCTTTTTATTCTCTTCCATACCCACTCCCGCATCTCGCGCCGCAAGGGTTTTTTAGAACGACAATGAAAACGACAACGATAGCTACCTTTCCACACCATTTTCGATCATTTTGGCAGTGAAGAATATCAACATTGTGTCTCATTTTACGAATTTGACATTTCTCCCCGATTGGATTCGAGTTTGAAATCGTTTTCGTGTTTACTCGAGGTTAGTGTTCTATGTCTCCTGATATATGTTCAAATTGAATCCGTGATTGTTTTTGGGGATCTAAATCACGTCATTGTATGAATGTCTCCACTGGATTGTTATTGGAATGTCATTATTTTGTTTGAGTGCATTTTCGGTTTACACACTACATATACGTGCTTTATTATTTGTATATTAATTTATTTTTAAATATAGATTTTGAATATCTAGGAGTGACGAAACTTTATAACATAATATGAATCGAACTTGGATGAATGCACGTCGTATTAGTGAAGAGTACGAAAAGGGAGTTGATGAATTTTTGAAATTTGGTAGTGAAAATGGAAAAGATATTGAATAATATATGGTTTTTTTTCATTTAGAATCGTGTCTATAACTAATGTTCTAAGTGGAAAACCCGGAACAAAGACTTTGCAGTTCATTTATCCTAAGATTAGAAACTTATTATAATAAGTGAATACCATAATTATTGTTTGTATTTAAATTTTGAAAATAACATTATATTTATTCATCATTATATTACTAGCTAAAGAAAATTGAACCTCTGAACTGTCTGGTTGTAATATATATTTGCAGGTTTTAGTTGTAAAACAGAATCAACCCAATTAAAAAAAAAACAACAAATTTACGTCGCATATACCAATACGCGACGTAAATTTGATGTTTTTTTTAATTTCTGAAAGTTTTTACGTCCGTTTAGTGGTATATGCAACGCAAAATTACGTCGGGTCTTGATAACTGACGTAAATTTACGTCGGGCTAAAGAGTCCGACGTAAATTTACGTCTCCCGTTTTAACGTCAGTTTTAAATACGACGTGAAAAGCCCTAAATACCTGACGTAAAAGCCCCTTTTTGCACTAGTGACATTAATTTGACTCTTGTAAACATGCAACATGAATAAAGTTAAATAAACTTAACTAATGTTAAAAACAATTACCTCCGTCCAAGAATCAATTATACCCGCACAAACTATGACTCTCATCTAATACATAACATAGTAACCACATTCAAACAAGTCTCGTATGCTTA